AACAAACTCATCATCCTCTTTCTCATCTCTCCCTCTGCGGTTCCCCAGTGTGTTTCTCCCAGCGAGTGTGTGAGAGTGTGTGTGTGTGTGTGTCTGCACATCCACAAGGAGAGAGGGAGGGAGAGAAAGTGAGCACCTTTGTGTGTCCATATGCGTCTGGGTGGCGGCGAATGCGCTGGGCGTCCTGCTGGGAGCACAGATGGTGCCGAGGCCTGCCACGGCAGCGCCTGACGATGGCCACATTCTCACATGGGACCCTCAGCTTTCTGGATCCCACACCTCCTGCTCGGGCTTGAGCCGACAACCCTCCTTCCTCTTCCCCCCGTCCAGGGGCCGGGGGCCGGGCCCGCTGCCCGTTCCGCCACCCTGAAAAAACCCCCAAAACGAACACCGCACACGGGGAAGATGGCGGTCGCACTCTCCCCGGAGCGTTTCCCCCGCGTGCGAGCGAGCGAGAGTCAGAGTGATGTAAGCGATGCAAATGTGAGAAGAGTTAGAGCGTTGTCAAACGCTGAGCTTCTGGGGCTAAATGATCAGTCACAACATCTTCCTCTGTCTCGTTTCCGTGTCCTTTACCCCACTCTGTCTTCATTTTTGTCTCTGAAGTGTTTTTTTTTTTTGTTCCGTCTTTTCCTTCTGGTCGTCTAATTTGTCCTTGCCCCTCTCTCTGTTGCAGATGCCCCCCGTGGCTCGCCGTCCACCTGAGAGAGGCCTCATACGTCTCCTGACAAAGTGACTAATCCTCCCCATTTCACAGCTCCAGCCCGCTGCTCCCTGCAAATGTTCAAAGCTGAACGTGTGTGTGTGTGTGTGTGTGACAGGTGGGTGCATGTCACACAAGTTCAAGGTGTTTTTTTTGTTGCTGTAACAAGCGACTCAGACAGCTGCTGAGCTTTGAGTGATTAGAGATATAACTCCATCACTGACGCTTCACCTGAGTGACATCACTTCCTGATGTCTTGTTGACAGTTTCTTGAAAATGAGGTCCACCTCCAGATGGAAAAGTTTCTCCTCTTGTTCCCTCAGATTAGAAAGTAATGTTACCCTCAACTTTGAAATTAGCATCTTATTTCCGGTGAATCCACCTCCAGTATCAGGCCTCAGCTGGTGATAGAAGCCGAGGAAGGAATAATCATAACTATAAATCACTGAACTCTGTTCTTGCTGTGTGTCTGCTAGCGCTGATTGATTATGGGAACTACAGTAAGAGGGCGCAGGAGTCTGCGCAAAATTTGTTTCAGAGGGTGATCTTTTTAAAGAAATGGTTCACCCTAAAGTTGATAAAATCCCCCAGAGATGAAGCAAGTGCAGCATCTCCGTGTGTGTGTGTGTGTGTGTATGTGTGTGTTCTGCTGCTGAAATGTCATTTTTCTCTTTTTAACCCGGATGTATTAACAGTTAGTAATTGTTATCTTAATTACATGTTAAATAAGGTAACTACACTGTAATTACACACTGGACAGGTTAACTCAATGCAGAACTGTGATGAAAAGTAGAATAATTAGAAACTAGGCGCCTTGCAGTCTTACTCCAGGATGTGAATAAAAGCTACGTTGGTGATCTGATTAAGTCCAAATTAATCCAAAACAACATTTTTGGATTTAATTTCACTCTTTAGAAATTCTGGTAAATATTCATAAATAGTTTGGTGCTATAAAGCAGACTATTGGTAACTTTCATATCATTTATTAGTCTTGTTGTAACACTTGTCCAGTGATTCGTGTTGCAGTTGCACATTTTACAGTAAAGTTTGGATTAGAGGGGCACAAATAAATCAGCCACTATGTCACCCCATGGTTGCCGACTTAGCAACTTCTCTGACTCAAACAATTACATTGGCCAATGATTTTTAAAGATTGGTGATTGGTCAAAGAATGAGTGAGTTGCTAGGTAACCAGAGAGTGAGTGAGTTAGTTGAAGCCACCAACCAGTATGTATTGCAGGTTTATCGCAATATATACTGTCATTGATTTATTGTCCAGTCCTGTGTTTAAACTGTAACAAGTTCCTACAATCTGAATTAGTATTATGCTATAAAATGGAGTCACAAAGGCTGCTTGAGGAAAAATTAGTCAAAAACAAAAATGTGGATCCATTTAGAGACCCCATCTTTCTCACATTTTAGGTTCTGTTGTTGGTTTATGGCTCAGAACCTTCTGTCCTTTACCCCAGTTTTATTCAAGTTGCAGATTAATTACTAATGATTCCATGAATGATATGTGATGTTTTCTTAAACAGGCTTTAGTTGCTGCAATTTGGCAGAGAAAAGAGTAAATACCGTGACTAAAGAACATCCATTAGCCGTCCTCTGGTGACTCCACCACCCTGCAGTGTGCTGCCTGTCTCCACTCTCACTACATCAGCTGTGGGATGTAATTGCAGCAGGCACCAACAAAACAGCCTTGGAGGTGTCCTTCGTGTCTTTGGCCCAAAGCCTCGCGGACCGAGGCGGGGTCCGGGTGATGCAGACCACCAAACACAAGCCCATTTCCCTTTTGCTGTCTGTGGAGCAATTAGGAAGTGTGTGTGTGCGCGCGTGTGTGTGTGTGTGTGTGTGTCCGTGGGCTCCAGCTGTCAGGAGGCCTCTGTCTCTTGGTCTTGACATGTCTCCAATACACCCCGCTGCGAGTATCTCTGTGTCACACGGACCCCGGCCGGAGCCCAGGGCGAACTGTCCGTCATCTCGCACACACACACACACCCACACACACACACACACGCACACGCACACACTTTCGTCCCTTTTTTCCTTCATTGATATGGTCCTTCTGGCACCACGGTTGGAACTTTGCTCTCATTCACAGCGTGTTTGTCTGGGAGTGTGTCTGCGGTGGCAGTAAACATGGCGGTGGCTGCGGGCCACGCCAAGTCATCCGTGCTTCCCCTTATCGTTTTAATCACCTCGTTAGGCGCAGCTAGTAACCCACGCTTGCTGGCCGCTGCTCCTCCTCTGGAACCGTGCCCTCCTGACCTGATGCTGCTGGTGCGACTGGGCATGGGGCGCTGGGGGTGATGGGGAGAGGAGGATATATGACGAGCTTTAGGGTTTTCAGATGTTAGCGAAAGCCAGAAAGGTGTTATTTTTGCTTAAAAGTTTAAATCATGCCTAGAAGGAGGCCTTTCAATGCAAGTTTTATGTGATAAACCTAATAAAGTAGAATGAAAGTACTAAAAACTTCTAAAATACTACTACCGTTCACTTTGGGGGTGGTACTCTACAAGCTTTGCATTGTTCCAGATAAGGATCCACCATAAAATTGTATAAATTCAAATTGCGAAAAGAAATTTGCTGAATGGAAACACACCAATTTCAAAATAAAATCATTTTTTTAAAGGTTTGTGCATTAGAATTATATGTTTTTCCAGCCATATTTCGCTAAACTGTGATGGAAACATGAGTCACATGATCAACAATCAGATGTTACTACTGGCACAAACGACAAACAACACGACAGGAAGTGGTAGGATGATGATGGTTTGTTTTTGTTTTTTTCAGACAATGTGCAGCTGACTCCACCAGAGCTCTCACACAATTCACAAAAAGTTGTGCTGAATCCTTAGCTCTTCTTTAGAATGGCCAACTACAAATTCCCCAAAACGCTGCATACGTAGTGGGTGGGGCTTGTCACTCCAGTGCCTGAAAAAGGCGTGACATTTCCTCTTTACATTTGACGCTGACATGATTTTTAATGACTTATCGTGTGAACAAGTTTACTCACGTGTGATTTTAATTTCATTCCTTAACTCATGGAAACACTGCTATTACGAAATTGTATTTTTTTTGACACTAGACAAGATTTCTGCACATTTGTAATGGAACCAGAGCTATTCAGGTTGGATGAATAGCATCTGTGAAGAGTCACAGTCTTGTAGAAAAGGAAACCTCCATCCCAGTTTAAAATCTTCTACAGCCTCTTAATTTCCAGAAAATGTTCATGACAACCAAACCAGGCCAGTAAACAATTTATTAATTTATTGGTTTTTATGTCTTCATTAAGGAAGATTACTCTTTATGTTTCTCTATGACATAAACATGATTATCATTTTTTTTCTAGAGGGGCCGTGGCCCCCCAGGCTCCCTCCTTGGATTCACCACTGCTAACTCTTTCAATTATTTTTCAGTCTCAGCTGACCGAAGTGCTTCACAACAAACACAGCATCACAGGTAGATAAATAATAAGACAATTATAAAACTGGCAAAGATACCAAAAGCTAAAACAAAACAATACTTAATTTCAGCTGCAGCGATTTTCAACTCTAACTCTGACCAACTTTTTTTTATAGTATCCCCAAAGCATAATGCTGCCACCTTTGTGTCCTACCATTGGGATGCTGCGTTCAGGGTGTTGTGGAGTGTTTTTTTTTTTTTTTTTTTCTTTCACTGATGGTTTGCAAGTCCAGTTTTGGCCCCATCCAACCCAGAGCGCGTATTTATTTAGTAATTACTACTGTTTGTAGATTTTATTTAGGGGCAATCAGAGAAAATATGTTTTATTTTACAATTATTCACTTTTCTGTTTGCCTTTTACATAAAATGTAAGTTTTTCTCCACTCATGCAGCTGAAAATACAATATTCTGAAAAACCGGCTCACCTGGCACAACAGGTATCTGCTTTTGGAACGATGAGCGTTCAGTTTTACCTCCTTCTCTCATTCTGTAAAACATGTCAGGGCATGAAGCCAACATGCATGATAAAAAGATTCGAGTTAACCCCCTCCTTCATCGCCCATCAACACCCCCCTTGCTGCCCTCTCTCGCATCTCAAACAAAACAGTTTCTATTTTTTAATCATTGCTATTCACTAAAAACACGCACACGTGCACAAACTCACAACACGCATTTCTTTCTCTTTCTCTTCTCTTACCCCCCCTCTCCATCCTTTATCATGCACACATCTCTGCCTTCCCTTTGCCCACTACTCCCACGGGAGGCAGAGCGCTTGAGGGCCGAGGGGCGTGAGGAGAGGAGGAGGAAGAGGAGGAGGAGGAGGAGGAGGAAGGGTTGGAGGGAGGGGGCGGCGTTAGACAATGCCCATTCCTCCAATATATTCCGTCCCCTCTGTCCATGAAGTGAGCCTTTATTAGTGAGGATCGTTTGGATCTTATCTTCCACATGACGCGCGGCGGATGAGGAGGAATCAGAGCGACGAGGCGGGGGGGATTTATCTGCGATCTGCTCGACTCCCGACCTGGAAGAGTGTCGCTTATCTCCAGCCTCTTCATCTCCATCTTCCACAGGCGGACGGACCAGCAGCCTCTCTGTCAGCCCAGCTCATCTATTGTCTGAAATCCAACCGAGGACCGGCTGATCCCCTCTTATCGTCACCCTAATCGGTTTTTTTTTCTTTTTCTTTTTTTTTTTTTTTTTTTTTTTTTTTGGTTTTTTGGTTTGTTTGTTTTTTAATTTTGACATTTTTCTGCAGATTTCCTGAACTGATCCCAGGAAGACTTCTGGTCCGTTTTCAAAGCGTTCTGCGATGCAAGTTTCCATCAGGAAAAAGTGACAAAAAGTACTTTCTCTCTGCATTTTCTTTCCACTTCCTTGAGCCTGAATGCACGTCTTTTTGACATCTGATGCTCGTTCGGCTCGTGGAATATGAGTTAATTGGGAATTGGGTTAATTAAACGAAGAACCAAATTGCCTCCCAACTCTCTTTCAAAGTAAGTTAATCATCTTTAAATGTTACATTTTCCCCCCATTTATTTTAGCTAGAAAACTCAGATGATTTTCTAACCAGCTTTATTTGTAGTGTTTTGTTTATTAGTTTATTTTGCCATCAGATCTACTGTCAAGTCGCTCCGGCCTCAGCTAAGCAGATGTGTTCATCACACTGTGACAGATGGCCAATTCTGATTATGTTAATTCAGAGGGAAAAATGGCCAGCATCTTCTTCTTCTTCTTCAAAAAATAAATAAATAAATAAATAAATAAATAAATAAATAAATAAATAAACACAAGTTGAATTAAAGAAAATCAGAAATACATTTTTTATTTTTGGCTCATATTTAAGGCTTTTCTTTCACCTAAGGTTAAGTTTTTTTTTATTTTAAATATAACCATTTATTTAGTTTAACTTTGATTTATTATATATAAAAAGCTAAAAATATTTCTGAATTAGTTTTTTTTTCTTCCAAAGCATTAAATATTATGATTGTTCTGTTCAAGACAGGAGAACACCCACTGAGCAAAGTTCAAATGAATAAAAGTGGAAACTGTTTCCTTTCGTTTTAAAAAGGCCAAAATGTGACTGAAAAGTGAAAGTTATTAAAAACCTCTTTTGCTTTTTGAATGTTGATCATTTTGTTTAAACAAACTTAACTCTGAACCGAGTTGAATTTAAACTAAATATATATTTATTTAACGTGTTAAATAGTCATAAAAACACATCCACGTGTTTGGGAGAGGTTTCCTAAACTTTGCTGCAATTCGTTTTTCTGAGATTAATCACATCAGGATTATATTAGTAAATGTTCTACAGTGTTTACTTTTTAGAATAAATGCTAAAACATTACGCTAATTTAAATCTATATATTATTTAAGTAGATTTTATGACATCATGGATGTATGGAGGCCCGCTGAGAGATTTCTCCACTGGGGCCTCAACGCTAATTAAATCCTATGTTAAGCACAGTTTTAATTTGATTTATATGGTTTTATTCTTTTCGATTTTTTTTTTTTTTTTTACATTTTCCTTAGGTTTTCGAGGAGGCTCGCCCGCCAACACGCCGAGCGTAAAAATGATGCTGAGTCCGGACCAAGCCGAGGCGGACCTGTCGTGGACCCAGTCCGACCCGGAGTCGATGCTCAACGGGCTCAAGTCGGCCGGCTGCACCTCGGACGAGCCGACCGAGGGCGAGGAGCAGCGGGCCAAATGCAAAGCCGAGCAGCCGCTGAGCAGGGAGGAGAAGAGGAGGCGGCGGCGGGCCACGGCCAAGTACCGCTCCGCGCACGCAACCCGGGAGCGGATCCGGGTGGAGGCGTTCAACGTGGCCTTCGCGGAGCTGCGCAAGCTGCTGCCCACGTTGCCCCCGGACAAGAAACTCTCCAAGATCGAGATCCTCAGACTGGCTATTTGTTACATCTCCTACCTGAACCACGTGTTGGATGTCTGAGTGGGAGCGGACGGGCGGACTGGTGCGGGAGATTTCTACAGAACGCGCAGTATTTTCTAAGCCTTTCACAGATGGTACTTTGGGCAGACATGCTACACTGAAAAAACCGAACTTAGAATTCAACCAATAAAATTGGAGAGACAATTTAGTTGGGTAGAGTTATTATGACTTCTGAGTCCAACTTTTAACACATAAACGATGATTAGTCACTGAAATTCTAACTAATTAAGTTAATTTACCTAGTCTGGTGTTAAAAAAAGAAACCATAGCTAAGATGTGCTGTTGTGTGGCAGCAGCTGTCTCACTGTTAAAAAGTTCAGCTTGCTAGCAAGTTTCACTGCTGAATATAAATTTACTAAACAAACTCGCTTTTTTAAATAAACCATAACTCCTATGAGAGTTTAATTCAACCCGTGATAGCCTTACTGGTCTCTGCAGGACGAATAAAAAGAAGAAAATGTATGTTTGAATTCAACAGGTATTAAACATTACATTTGAAACCACATAAGTTGAATTAATTTAGTAAATATCCTCTAAAATTTATTTTTGCAGCAGTAGAACATTTATAACTTTAAAGAACTTTTGGCCTTTTTATTTTTTAAGAGTTTTCCACTTAACGGTGTGAAATTCATCTTTCACCAATTATGTAACCATCCATTTTTTCACTTTTTTTTTCAATTGTCAAAAATCAGTTAAATAAAATCTTTTTTTCCTCTCAGACTTTGATGAGTTAGGGAGAGACCAGCTGATTATTGAGGCTTTTAAGCTCTGAAAGCAATAAAAATTACATGGATGCATTTCCTGAGCGATTCAATATATCTGCATTCTTGCCTAAAAAAACTAATAAATTCATAATTCTGATAAAACAAAACTGTACAAGTTAAATAAAATTGGTGCAATTGTTTTGATTTATATAGTAAATAGATTTTAAACAGTATTTCTGTTGGGAAATATGTATGTTCACCATATAAGTTATCTTTTAAGATCATTTTGGTGATCTGATTAAAAGTTACCCTGAAAACTACCACTGCCTCAGGTGTGCAACACTCCACTTGCTAGCAAGTTTGACTTTAGCATTAGCGCTGTTGCTAAACTACCTTAATCTGAACACAATTTTAAATGTTAAATTCCTGCTTGAAATGGAACGTAGGCAATAAAACTGCTTAATTCAACTTTAAAGACATTTTTTTGAAGCAAATTTCACTTTTTACAGTGCGCGTTTCCCCTTTTTTCACTGTGTCAGGCTGTGGGGGGGCATTTTTCACATCAAAATGAAGGGATGTAAACAAAATAGCTGCTTTAGATCTTATAGTTTAGAAGATGTTTTCCGTAAAGGAAAAAAAAAATAAATTTCAATGCGTCAAGTGCTACTTATGACATGAGAAATTGTGACCTTAATCATTTTAAAGTGTATTTATTTATTTATTTATTTATTTATTTAATTGCGTTAATATTATTGCTAATTTATTTATGCGGATTACAGGTCTTTCTTTCTGTATAAATGTATATTGTTTGTCGATTCAATATATTTTTAGGCTGTGAAATTGAACGTGGTAAGTAATGGTGTTTTCCTGTTTAAAAAAAAAAAAAGAAATATGGCACTTTCTGTTAATCCACTGCATCTCCTGTTTGCTTTCAATGTATGTTCGATGTCTCCTTGTTTTGCTTTGATAATGTCTGTTATATCGATCGATGGCAACGATGAGCACTTGAACTGTGGGGCCCCACGGCCCCCTAGGTGTCTGCTTCCCTAAAATGTTGTGTTGGGACGTCATTCAGTTTTCAGATTCGCCTCGTTTTTCTGTCAGTTCATGACAACAAGAGGTTCTGTTGTGATCTCCAGAATGACACCTCTTCTTTTGCTGTGACCAAAAACAAAGTCTGAATTTATTCTCTTCGATGTGCTGATGTTAGGCTCTTATTTTAGAAAACGTTTATTTATTTGTCTCTTCTTTGTATCCTGGAAATTCCAATAAGTAATTTTATAGCAAAAGGAGAAGAAAAAAACACATATCCTCTATCCAAAGATTTTTTTGTCTCTTCAGGGTTGTGTAGACTTGTTGCTTTATGCAGATTTTTTAGTAGAGTTATTGTGTGACAGCTGGTTTCTAATGGACAGACTTTTTTCATATTTTCCGGTGTTATTTTTAATTAAAAACAAATGCTAAAGAAAGACTCCCTTTCCTATGTTGGGATACGTTTAAAACATTTCAGTTCATTAAACTCCATTAAATATATAAGCTAACAACATGCTAGCTGAGACAACCATGCTGTATGGCAAGCCATTAGTGACAAATATTGGGACTCCCAACCTATCTGTCGTAAAAACCCAAACTTAGTAAGTCCTAAAAACCTCATTTGTATCATTGTTTTATAAGAGGTCCTTTGAATGCCTTCTTTTGAAATTTGCAATGTTTTGTTGCATAAAGCCTGTTCATGAGTGGCAAAATAAGTGGCAGCCAATTCAAACACGCTCCTGCTGGCAGAAAATATTGATTTTTGGCAGCATTTTAACTCACTTTAGTAAAGTCCCAATTCACTAAACCACAGTTGTTGGAAAATAGACACTAAGGGTTTATCCTCTGAGCCTTTAGTGATGCTACACTTGTTATATCTCAACAAGAAATACAAAACTACTGATAAACAGTTTATATTGCCAACTTTTACTATGATTTACTATGATGTGTTATAGAAATATTAAATAATGATATCTAGGTCAGTTGACAACCTGCCTTTCTAATCATAATTCTGGCTTTTTTACTTGAGCTTTTACTGAACTACAAACATAGAAACCCAGAATATAAACCAGAGTATAAATAAAACCCACACACATCTTCACAGGAAGTGAGCGCTTTCAGGTTTATTTTATGCAAGCAAACAATAAATGATCTTGGAGATCAAGATTCACAGACCTTGTCCACATGAAAATAGAGTATTTCAATGACAATTTTATATTTTTCCTTTCTAAAACGTTACGTTATAAACATGGCACCCTTCTTAAAAATGTCTTCAATCGTAGAAAAATCAAAACAAAATGAAGCTTTTATACATTAATCAAACAGCAACTACCATCGGCTGTTTCTGTTTACTGCTAATAGAACATAACTAGAAAAAAGTTCAACCTTTGACTAGTCCACACCAAAGCTCTCATTTTGTTGGGAGTTTTTTTAGCCAATGAAAAAACTCCTGGACTTACTGATGCGTATTGGATCATTTTTCTGCTTCATAATCCAAACCTGGTTAAGTTTAAGGGCCCGACATTCTGGTGGCGAGCATAACTCATGGTTCCACCTGTTTCTGCTGGTTATCCAGAAAAGTAGCCCAGAGCATCACACTTCCACCACCATGTTTGACTATAGGGAAAGTCTTAGATATTATCAATATGTTTTTGTAAAATGTGAGATGGACCTTTCTGATGTTTTTGGTCAAGAAAAACTATGGATATCATTTTTGCCAAGTTGCTCTCATGAACCTTATGGTCTTTTGGGTTTTTTGGGACCTCTTGGATGAGTTGTGGATGTAATCTTGGAGTAATGTTTTTTTTTTTTTAGGCCAGACACTCCTGGAAAGGTTGACCACTGTTATATGTTTTCTACAGCTGTGTATAATAGTTGTCACTCAAGTCTAAGGCCTTACGAATGGCACCTTATGTTGTCATATGGGTTTTATTTAGGTTTTACTGTATTTGAGGTTCTAAACTGGTTTGACGATTGCTGAGGTTGAAGGTTTGGTCCAAGGGGGGACGATGTCATTGTTTTGTCAGGGCATTAGGGCAGTCCACCATTGTCCGTCGTTTTTTTATCTTTGAAAATGTTCAAAGTTGACTGGAAACATATATGCTCTCACATCAGTCTCACTGCACTCTCAGCGCGAACCTCTAAAAGCAAAACTAAGCCTTTATAGTTGCACTTTGAGATTTGCGTATGCATCAAGGTTCCTTGGTGCAGTTCTCACCAAAAAGACAACCTTCATAGAGGAGCCATGCAGGTGAAGCTGCTATGCAAGAAGACCTTCCAAACAGACCATTATGAGTGAAAGGTGGTTACAAAAATTCAGAGGTGCACATATACGCTACAAGTGTGTCCAAGGACGGAGCGAATGATGCGCCATTCTTGCACGGTACATCAATTGCATCAATTCAGTGCTTTAACTATAAACCCACCTTTGCTATTATTGTTACTAGTATATAAAAAGACTTTTAAAATAAAATAAGAAGCAATGCTTAGCCTGGCGGGTGGCAAGCAAAGCCTGGTGGCCCGCCAGGCTTATAATACACAAGTGGAAACCCTGTGTATTATAAATCTTAAACCAATAAAACACCAAACCACAACATGTGATAATAATAATAGCCCAAAACCCTCCTAATGTCTGGCCCAGCACATTTACATTCACCAAACACACATGCTGAAAGGTGGAATAAGTACTTTAGCGTACTTATGAGACATCACCCCTTGTTCACTCTACTGTCCAAACACACATTCACAGCAAGAAAGAAAACCCACACACACAAACACACACTCAGTGGTCAGCAGCTAAAGGCAGTGGTAGGCTACATATATATATGCTGCTGGCTGAAAGGCTCTCTGCCTCCCCAGAGAGGGGGCAGGTGTTACTCCAGACGAGCCAAGACAACCAAATTACTGGCCGTCTGGCACCTCCCGTGGGAAACCCGGCGAGGAAGAAGGGATGGGAGAGATGGAAATTTATGAGAGAGCGAGAGCGGAGATATAATATTGCCAAATGGTGTGAGCTGCAAAGATCCAAATATTTATAACGATTTGTAAGATATCTGCACGCCTATTCTCATCGATTGTGCCAGGAAAGGCTTGTTGAGTTAGACTGGAAGAGATGTGTGAACGCTTTTATCCAAACTACATCGGATTATCAGGAGTTCAACCTTTTTTTGTGAAGCTTGGGTGGCCCAGTGGGAGCTGAACCTTCAACCGTGGAAATGCCACAGGCTGCTTTAATGCAGCAGAATGCGTTATATAACAAAATATGTGATTAAAACTACATCCATCCATAAATGTTCTCAAAAAATAGGTTAAGTTTAAAAATATGTACAATGTAGAATTGTAAAATGTCAAACCTAGAACAGAAAAATAAAAATGTAACTCAAAAACAAAAACAATTGAACTGAGAATGAAGGAATACTCTGAAATAAACCCACTTAGCTTCCACACTAAAGACACACACACACACACACATATATATATATATATATATATATATATATATATATATATATATATATATATATATATATATATATATATATATATATATATATATATATATATATCTCAAAGCATTTGGTCAGTTCTACATGACTGACCAAAGTTATTTGGAGCCAATTTGAAGGACCTAAAGAGCCACATGTGGCTCCAGTGCCACAGGTTGGAGAATCCCGGTTTCATTGGACAATCGTTAGGTTTGAAGTTGTGCCAATCTGTCAGATTTTACATGATGGATTGAGTTGTTCCAGTTTCACACATTTACACTGAGATTGAGAAACATCTAACCTCTCACAACTTTTCTGTTGTGTTTAACTTTACTTCGGGGTGGCAGGTTAAAAAGGGCAAAATCCAAATGCAAACCACAACATCTATGTGTGGCTCTGCAGTCCTGGTTTTGTTTTTTGACCTTCCATCTGTCAGTTTGTGACTCATCTGTCAGGCTTTCTTCGACTTTTACCTTCATCTGTTGCAACACCTGCTGTGAGCACTTGCTGGGCAGTGGAGCTAAAACAAAACCAGTAAACCAATTTGATCTTCCAAAATACAAAACTTCTTGTTGATGAATTTAGGTGTGTTGAAGAACCTCAGTACTGGAGTCAGAATTCCCAACATCAAAGTTAAATATGGCTGCTGCTTCATATAAACAACACAGGGTGTGTCCAAATTCAGTTCCTGGGTCTTTTGAAGGCCACATATGAAGGTCGACTACGTCACAGCGATGCAACAAAGGTTGTCCAAATTTGAAAAGTCTTCCAAATGTGACCCACAAGTGTGTCCTTGTCCCTCTGTATTTGAGGTCTAGAGTACCTTCACTGACCCTTTCCCAAGAGGCATTACAGAGATTTTGTTCTGGGTCCTTTTGAAGGACGCAACTGCTGAATTTGGACATATCCATAATTTGGTATTAAGTATTACAAAATTTTATTTTGTGCTTCTGATGGTTTGAATGTCATCAAATAAGCAAACTTCTTTTAGATAATGTGTTCCTATAACACTTAAACATAGAATTTTGAAAAATACATCATTGCTGGTATCGCTAACAGGAGTTAGCCTGGTCACTTCTGTTCTGTTTTCAGTGTGACATCATTCCCTGATCCAAGCTACTACTTCTGAGGCAATCAGTGCATGATATTAGAAATAAAAAAATAGCTAGCTAGTACATGTAGCTGATTTGATATGAGCCTAAGCTAATGTAAGCTAACTTTAATGGTAGCGGACTGCAAAGCCGGAATTTGAGGGCCAGTGTCCTGCAAGTTTTAAATGCAAAATCACTTCAACACTTCTCAATCACATGAATAGTTAGAGACAAGGGGAATATTAAAAGTTCAAAATTAGCGAAGACTAACTAGAAATTACATTCCAGAATGGTCGGCTGGCATAGCACCGTCAACACGCCTGCTTTCGTTCACTTGACAAAAACATACATTAAGTGTTTGTAACAGCCTACAGCAACAGGGGATGCGCTTACTTTAAGAATGCGCTTGTGTGTTAGGAATATATGCGCGTATGTGCATGTTCAGGTGGAGGCAGAGCGACGTCAAAGATGCTACAGTTGGCGGTAAAACCTGACTTTTGGCTGAGAAGCTTACATCAAGTTACAGGAACTATCTATGTAAGGTGAGAACTTGTCTGTTGCTGCACAGTTAGGGGAGTTAATCAAGAAGCTAGTAGCACCTTTAGCCTGAAGAAATAAGTTTACTCATGTTAAACCCCAATGCTTTCATTGGGTTTGGATGATAATGTGAATAGTATCTTGTCATTTAGAGCTGTTAGATTTCATTTGAATTTTTGTAGATTGTGACCTACGGAAATATTAGGACAACCTTTGGACAACCTTTGTGGTGACTGTTTGTCCCCCTCTGGTCTCTAGATGTGAAAACTGCTGAAGTCGTACCCAAATCACTTGAAAGGTGGATTATTGTTTTGTTTTTT